TCGTCACCATTTGATTTGTTGTGAAAAGTATGTGCTACTGCTATGGAAAATGTCAGTCAAACTCAGCTTAGCTAAGCGGTCATGGCACACCATGTGGGTAAAGTAGAGGGAACTGTGATTGTTTTGAGATTAAGCACTTCACAAACTAGATTTAAAAAACTCTCCTTCCATGTGCACAGTGATGGTGAATAGAAGAAACTGTCCTCTTCTTATTCAGAGCTCTCAAGAAAGAGGGGTGGGGAAGGGAGCCCCAACTAGAAGTTCCAAATTAATTTTGGGGTTTTTTTACTGAGAATGTGCATTATCTGGTGTGGCAAGAGAATGGTGCTGCTGCTATAGGATTTGAGGCCCTGCACTAGGGAGTTTTGGTGATAAAATCTTATGCTGTATAAGAAGCCACACAGAAGTCTAAAGCAGAGAGTGTCTTCCTGTCTTTCTTATCTGTGGCCAATGGGTAATTGGAGCAATCAAGATGACTACTTCTAACAAAGCAAATCTTGTTTTAGTCCTGTCATGATTCCTGAGTCCTACCTGAGGTCAGAGGGAAGTATCCATTCATAGGAAAAGCATAAAAGTTCAAGACCTGCAGGATAGCTCAAGCCCCAGAAAAGATAGTTTTAAAAAAAATAATCCTACCATATGTAGCTGTGGATTCATATAACTAAATTGTGTATGGTGGGAAAGGAGAGAAGATGAATGGTCTTGGTACTGACCCATTCTTTATTATCCAACTGGAATTAATCCAGTTAATTCTCTTGATTACTAGCCATTGAAATAATCTCTTTATATTCACTACTTTTCACCTTATTTCTTAAGTAAAATCATCTAGAGTAAAACCTGGCTAACTAAAATAGAATCCTGTAATCTGTCCTTTTTCTTTGAGTACTATCTTAATTCATTCCTGACAGAGTTGTGTTCAATGCTGCATTTGACCCTGTTAACAGCAATTTATAGGGCTTTTGAAATATGGGGACAGTGTCTTCAAACTGCCTTCAAAGTACAAAAATTCTCATTCATCAGTCTTGTTCTGCCTTTCTTTGCTTCTATGTACAGGAGAATTATGATCATCACCTTGGACTGTCTTGATAGCAGCTGAGGGAGGGACTGCTTTGATTTTATTAAGAAAGATTATTGTGAACAACACAACTTGAGAAATATATGATAAATACATTGCTTAATTACACATAATAACTCTGTAGAATGACTGAGCATCTTTTAGTGCATGGAAGTTAAATACAGACCTTAATTAGGCAAGCCAGGAGCTAAAGGTAACATCAGACAGGGGCAATGACATCACCCATCAGCACCCAAACAAGAAGAGCTGAGTGGGTCCAGTGATGGTAACACAGTTCAGTTAACAGCCCAGTAATTAGCAGTCAGGTGTATAGTAATGAGGCAGGTTGAAAGTCAAGACAAGTCAGCAAGGTGAGGCCATGATCTACAAGGCTGGATGCAGCCAACCCACCAGAGCTGTGGGGCAAAGACTAAGGAAGAAGCAAGGGCAGAGACCTGAGCCTATGCCCAGCTGCTTGCACCAGGAGGGCAGAAACTGCAGAGGCCACAGATGACAACTTTCTCACCACTTACCTGTTTCCACAAAAGCTATACAGGTTTGGCATATTAATGCTCATCTTGGATGCTGACACCTAAAGACCAAGGAGAGAGGTGAAAGGGATTACAAGAGAGAATTATGGACAGCAGTGGATATGGCTGGTGAAAGCAAATTGGACCTGCTCTAATTGTGTTGGTGTGTTCAGTGCCCTGAGGAGGGTATACTCTTAAAATTGGAAGTTAAAGTAAGTAGGCTGCTAGCTAGCACCAAAGCATCTAGCAGCTGGGAAAATTCTGCTAAAGTTAAAAATTAATTCATGTTTAACACAAAATAAGGAGATATACTACTGTATTTTTAATGAGTAACAAAAAGTTCCTCTCTAGCTGAAACAAGTTTTCATGTAAACAAGTATGTGATTGCCATCCCATAAGAGCTGTATCCTACAGTTTAGGCTCTTGGAGTAAGAAAGATCTCTGCTCTCTTGCTGTTACTAAATGCAAGAACTGAAAACAGACCTGCCCTGGCTAATTTTAACCATCTGAAAGAGGCAAGAAGCAGCAGAATATTCCAGTACATCCATCCTCATTTTTAGACATGTTCACTAATTTTGTGTTGTAATTTTACACTTCCAGTGTTGAGACGTCTCACAAATGACTTTGAATAGTATGAAAACCTACTGATTTTCCTGCTGTAACTCCTGAACCCTCCACTGAAGAAAGGCAAGCAAGATTGATATAATCAGTTTGCAAAGACAAGCCTCCATGTCATTTTTGCAAAGGTCAGTCAACTGAAGAATTTGTTGTAAAGCAGAGCTATGACTGTGTGAAGACAAGGCCCTGAATCTTTAAAGGCCCAATTCGCACAAAGCTTTTGAATCCAAAGAGTTAACTGTTATCACCCATAGTATCACAGTTTATCCAGGGCCTTCCTTTCCAGTGATTTTCCATTTATACTAGAGATTATCTCAATGTGCTATGTAAGTTTCAGTGCTTTATATCAACAGATTAATCACTTCATCAGCCTTCACTTCATTTTGGAGGATTGTTTTGAAATTAAGACAGATGTAATATTATTTTAACCTTGTTATTATTTGCATGTGTGGGGAAACATCCTGATAGCATTTATCTTCAAGTTTAAAAAAGCACAAACTGTCTCAGATAACAGTTGAATTTGTGTGTGTGTGTGTGTGTGTGTGATATTTGCTGTTTAAGATATTGCATTATAAACACATGCATGTAGTACTTGGTTTTGGTTTTTAGGTGTCACTGAGATAAGACAACACGTGAACTATCACAATAGATAACTTATACTGCAGATGGCCTATTTGAAATCATTTATAGTCACTGATACAGGGTTGGTAGTTGGTGTCGCCAGACTACTCAGTCTAAAAGCAGGGTCGGTGGCCTAGGGAGAAACTCTGCTAGAAGTGTACTGCTTATTCTCCATGGGCAGTATTTCTAATAAACATGTTATTTAGTGTTTGAAGTGCACACATATGATCTGTTTGACTGTTATGTACTCTGATACTCCTCTGAGCCAGGAATTCTTAGCTTGGTGCCTTAGACAGACCAGAGCATGAGTGAGAACTAAAAGGATGAGGCAAAATCTCTTTGGAAGTGATACTACCAAGCTACGGGAACTAATAGAAAAGTGTGGAAAGGATGACTCCACCAGTAATTTGTCCTTTGTAATTTGAATCTTGCAAGTTCTTTTTTCTCATTGGTGATTGTTAGATAAGGATACAAAATTGTGTCCATGGACACTTTTTGTTATCTGCGCACAGAAAAGGAGAAACAGCTTGGTCTTCCAGATGTAACCATTTCAGCTACGATCTTTTCCACTGAGGCTTCGTTATCAGAGCATGCTGTTACAGAAGTTATATTCCAAATCTATCTGTGATATTGAATGGCTCCCAGAGGTAAGGAAACCTTCAGCTCATAAATCAGATATGCATCACAGTTTCATTTTCTGTTTGCTGTATACATTTTTTTCGCACAGTCACTGAAAAGTACTGTGGTATGTGGTAAAATGCAATCCTCACTCACAGCTTTTTTAACTGATGGTACCTAAATTGTGAGGAACAAAATCAGATAGTTGAAGCTGATGCAGCTAAAAAGTAATCTGGAAAAAGAATAATTCTGATTTAGCCACATAAGATAACCATGTGGTCAGATATGGAGAAGTATTAAAACTCTTAACTAGGGGTGGGCTGGAGGTAAACTGGGTTATGCATAGAAGCATAGAATGCATCTCATTCTAAATGGCCACAACTGAAAGCAGTAGGACGCCGAATTTAAAGTACAGCTAACTAGCTCTTGTTCTCCACTTTCCTCTCTGATGAGAATAAACACACAGGAATGTCTGGTATTTCTTAGAAATAATACACTACCCAACATTAAGGTGCCCATTATTTTTGATTCAGTATCAAAGAGGACAGAATTACCAAGTTTCTGGTGATTTAACTGTACTTGGTTTTTTAAAAAAAATTCAGACAATTCTTGTCCTTGTTACTGATATTTGAAGGCTGTTTCAGAACCTTCATGCATGGTTAGAAATTTCCAACTAGAACTCCAGTATCAGTTTATGCCTATTTTGTGCACACTAATATTATTTATTAGCCTAAATGGATCTTTTCCATTTAGGATACATCTGTCCAGAAACTTTTGTGGTGGGTAGGGTAGTTCTGACCACACACAGCTTTTCTTGTGCTAAATGGAACTAGCCAAGTTCCAGACTTCTCTTACAAGAGAACAGAGGTCTCCATTTATTGAATCATGTTATACTTTTTCCATATCTGTTTCTTTTTTTCATATACAGGACCAGAATTGTACACGGTACTTCAGATGAAGCCTCAACAGTGCTTCCTACTATAACTCCCCTGCTTCTGTATCCCATGTACCTCTGTATTTGTTGGTAGCCCTAGCCAGGACTATCTTGCCTGATACATTCTAGGATTCCTTTTGTCTTTTCAACAAGCATATTGTATTTGTATGACAAGCAACTTTATAAAAACATAATAATGCCCTATCAGGATGCAATTATAAAAAAAGAGATATAGAAACTAAAAGCTAAATCTATGTGTATTCTACATATGCAGCACCAGTTGATATGCAGCTGGGCTTGTGTACAAAAAACCCACTGAGAATTATGCAGAGCCCTCTGAGGACCTGGATTTCCTCAGCAGCCCATGAGGGGCTAGAGAGCTCATTAAGTGAGCAGAAAGGTTCGGTGGCAGGGCTCACACTTTCTCTCAGATCTCCATGCTGACATGCAGCAGCATGTGTTTTGAATACCCAATGTAGATATAGGTTCTCATTTTTATGGAGTACCAAGCTAAGAAATTAAAGATGTATTAAAGATGGCTACATTAATGTTTTAACACGCTTTTCAATATATACAAAATGCAATGCATTGTTCTCACTATGAATTTCTGCTTGTGTGTTTGCAGGCCTTGTGGGTTTCCACCAAGGGCACCAAAAATAATCTGATGTCAGATGATACTAGTGATTCACCCTTCTACTATCAGCAGTATCCAAGAACAAGAGGCTTCAAAAATAGGTGAACATATTCTAATATTCCCTAAAAATATATGGAGTGCAATAATAAATTAAGTTTGGAAGAAAAAATATCCCTCCTGACTTTTGCCAATTTAGTTTGTACCCTACAAGAGTAAGATGTAATTACCCTTATCTTAATGATCCTTAACTTGGTATGTGCAGTAGCTGCAGATATTATTATGAGCCGTAAAATTATTCAGCCACAAAATTTACCTAAATTGCCCAAAGTGCTATTTTCCATATGCTTATTTCAGTTAAAAATGCTTTCTTTAATTTACTCTAAATGCATTGAACATTAATTTTATTGGAATAAATTCCATGTTTTGCTGATAAGGGATATAAAAGTAGTGATTAGTTTTTGGAAAAGGTTTCCATAGGCTATGTCTATAGAAACAGCTTATCTTATTTTTTAAATGCTTCTACTGCTTTCACTCACCTTGTGTCTACACAGCAGCATCTTTTGGTCACGTAAAACTGGAATTAACTTCAGGGTTTTCTAAAAATGGATCAAAGACAGCTACTTCTGTGCTTGTTTCAGCTGCTTCTTGAACTTTGAGCCTAAAGCTTGTCTATCATGCAGTTTTTCTGTCATTTCCTGTTCTTTTTTTCCCAATACTGTGTTCAAAAAAACCCAAACCCTGTACTAATTACATTTAATTTTTCTAACCTTTTTCTTATGTTGTTTATTCTTTCAGCAACTGCATCAAAAGTTTGCTTTGTTCCTGTATTTGTGTTTTGCTCTGTGATCCTTCCCATACGAAATTCAGATTTTACCAGACTCTTTTGGCCAGGTAGAACCTCTTATTTGTGAGCTCTTCCTTCTGAGAGAAGCCTCACTTTTTTTTTTTTTAATGAAAACATATAGTGAATTATGAGGATCAGGTTTTAATAGCTAGCTGAAAAACAGCAAGAATGCTGAAAAACATCAAAAAGATAAAAAAGGGAGTTTAAATACACCAGAGAAGAGCAGAAACCCAGAATATTTCTGGAAGCAATTAAAGAGTTTGCTTTATGAAAGAGTAAGAAATGGAGATGTTATTATAGGAAAAAATATTTTCTGCCAGAGGTTTGAATTCTGGCATCAACTTTCATGTACACATATAATTAAGGAGAACTTTTCTTGGTGGAAAAGTTTTCCTCCTTGGTAGAGAAAAAGTAATCCCTGTCTGGCAGAAAGTGAACTACAAATAAACTGTGACCTCTAATTCATCAGAGGGGTTTTAAAGTTGTGGGCTCGTGTTTTTTTGGTTTTTTGTGTCCCGTCC